CTCCCTAGCACAGGTTCCATACCCATACCTACCCATCTACCCTCCCAATCTCTGAAGACCAGTGCCTTATTTTTCCTTTATGGACTGAAAGCCACTCTTTAAATGTGCTTGCTAAGCCATTCTAGCAGCCAGTAGTTAAGAGTCAGAGGTATAATCTGTTGACTATCTAAATTTGACCATGGTTGGTCCTGTAATGTCCAGAACTAGATATATGTGCCCAGACCATAAGCCTGTCCCACCTTCCTTCTGCAAGGAAGTCCTCAAGTGTTTAGAAGGCTGGTTGCACTACGACATCAGCACAAATGAAGTTTACACCAGTATGTCTTCCAGCTCTTACTTTCTTCCCTGCAAGAGGTACATCATCTTGTTCAGCCAAGAGGGAATTTGCAGGTGTTCAATCCAACACATGGGAACCGACTGGCAAATGTTCATTCACGTAAAATTTAACAAGAATCACCAGCCCTCAGGTGAAAGCCACGCTGAGAGTTTGAACTTGTGCCCACCCAGGTGCTGCTGCTGCAAATACTGAGACCTGAATGCCACCTCCTGCTTCTTTGTGCTCAGTTTCATGATTTATGTTAGAAGAGAACGTCTCTTATTCAAAACAAAATGACCTTCTAAATTCTCTTGAAATGCTGCATTGTTTTCAGTCAAAGTATCACAGAGAAAAGTAGATTAAAAATGCTATAATCTCAAGAGGCTGTTTTTTCATTCCAACACTATTTCTAAATGCTTGTGAATATTTACTTTAATCATAAACATATCCTTTGCTCACAAGTTCCTTGAACAATATAATTACTGTGGCTGCTGAGGGTCTTCCCTACTGTCAGGCAGATACTTTGTCCCAAAATTGTATTTCGCCTGTTTTAGTCAAATTTAGAATGATTATAACAGTCCAACAGATTAACCATCATTTGTAGTACCTCAGCTTCCTTCTGAGTTGGTAACTTTTAGGATGCTGAGGAGCACATATTCTTATCATGCCTCCATGTGATTTGAAGGGGGAGATGCACCAGGGCTGTTACTAATGTAGTTTTACAGATAAACTGCAAGTACAACATTAAGTAAGAACAGGATTCACTACTAACACATGCCATAGTCTCTAAAGCCAAAGTTAACATTTCCAAAACAGTCTATCAGCTTAGTAAAAGGATGGAAAATCTAAAGGTTAAGGTTTGGTTAGAATGTATTTTTTTAATTTTTTTCTTAAGGTTCAGAGACGCCAAATTTCCTTCTTGATGTGAACCTACTGGTCTGATGAGAAAATAACTCCAGTTCCCCTTGCGGTAACGCCTGCAGGATCAGGCCCTCCAAATTAAAAATATAAAATAAAACCCAGCCCCATGTAGAGTTCAGGAAATTAAATGGCAAGTCTCTGTGTTCAAGTGGGACAGCCCAATTCAGGGAGTTGTTAGCACTCTTACCCCAGGCAGGGAATTAGCAGCAGCCAGTCTAATTTCTATGGGAGCAGCAGTTTCCCCTTCCCACGCACACGGGTGTCAGTTCTGGTCTGCTGGGCAGGGCTCTCCACTGGGATCCCTGGGCTGCAGGGCAAAGCCTGGGCTCTCCACAGCTTTGTCAGGCCTCAGGAGGGGACTGTGGGGGGGAAGCAGAACCAGGGTTGAAGGTTAAAACTGGAGCTTTGCAAGCAGATGAAAAGGAAAGGTGTGTGACATTTCCACCAGCTGTGCTTTATTCAGTTGTTTGCTTGCCTCCCACAAGGTGCATTTCAGTGACTGAGTTTCACTGACAGTGCTCCATAGGGCAGCCGAGTCCTCAGTCCTATTCATGATTATTCAAGAAACCAACTTTCAGCAGAAGCTTTTGTTTGGGCAAACATGAGTACACACTGCATTTGGACATACATATCAAACCCAGGCATTTACACACTGTACAGTTAGTGGACATGCTTCATATTCCCATATCTCCATGATTCTAAAATCCAAAAGACACATAGTTAGATTTAAATTTCCAAATGGCTTCTGGTCTCAGAGACTTTAGACTGCAAATGCACTGAAACGTCTTTTTAATCCTTAAATTAAAAATATAAGTTTATAATTTCTATGCTGTACATTGAACAGATTAGCAATGTAAATGCTGATAATCTGCACAGGCAAATGGACACACAGAGATATCAACTAATATTCTTGTTTTAAGATCCAAATGAAAAATCTGAATATAGAGTTTGATGACTGTAGAGTGCAGTAAGTGCACATAACCCTCTTCTCCTTTAGGCAGGGCCTAGGAAATCCCACTGAAGAGTTTTATGTAGGTGGGGTAAGGCTTTACCTCATCTCCTGCTGCAGCACAGATATACTTATGCTCCTTACTCCACTTCAAGTAAATTCCAGTGTTAGTTGTTACACTGCTCTACCAAGGGATGTACTTGCTTACCTAGTCAGATAGTAAATATTATAGCACAGTATTTTGCAAAGAATGGGAAACATATGTCCTAAACCAGATAAATTAAAAGCATCAGCTTAACCTCAGATGTTTATTGCATTTCAAACAGCAGTTATCAAAAAAAGGGCTCATTACAACATATATAGGTACTGGACCATCCAAACCCCTTCATTTGGTATGTCCCCAGTGCAACAATTAACACAAATTATTCTGAAACCCAACATATCTACATCAAAAAAAAAAGAAAAATTAAAAATAAAATTAAAAAAAAAAAGTGACCCTGTCTCCTGAACAGAAATAAGCTCCACGTGGAAAAATCTTAGGAAAAAACTCAACAAATCTATTAAAGTATGAATCCCACTTTCTGAATAAATAAGCAATTTTTCCTGCAGTTGAATGTTTTCACTCAAATAAACCATCAGATCTCACATGCCTGCTTAAATATGTCTGACTTTGGTCCTTACAAAATGACAAGACTTCAGTTTGATAAACCAGATGATAGTTTTAAGCGAGACAATGAGGCATTGTTTACAGAGAAGATTGAGAAACTGGTTTAACAAAAGGGTTCCGTGGACATCTATTGTATGTACAAGAAGGAGATTTACTGGAGATTTTGTAATTTCTACAAGGCTCTTTCCAACCAGCTTCATTAAGTTGAAGTAAATCAAATCATGCAGAGATCTGGCTCAGCCAGAGAGACATGCCGGGAAAGATACAAAATGAAGAAGAACAGACGCAGATGATAAGCTTTAGAATCTTTGGCATTTTTCATAAACATTTTCAAGGTTTTTCAATCTGTATATTCACCCATTTTCCCACACACACTCTCCTATAAATACATTATACATGTACTCTTTATACACAACTCTGTATACACATGGGTACACAAGCACACGTGCAAACAAAGAGGCATTTTTGTGGCTTTTTAAACCAGGATAATCTTTCTTCTATCCTTCCATTTGCAGCTACACACACTTTGCATGAGCAAAATACATTCTTTATCCAATCAAGTATATGAAAATGTGCCTGTCCTTATTCAAAGGCACAGTGGGACTTTGAAAAATAAACTTACGAAAAATTACTGAATCTGGTAAATAATCCAGTGGAAGATACTCTGCTGTTAGTTTTCCTTCTTCAAATTCATGCAACAGGCCCACAGAAGCACACACAACTCCATTTGGATCACCCACCCATTTATTAGGTGACTTCCAAATTAATTTTTTGGTAAAAAGAAACCTGTCTCTAAGGTTTCTTTATTTCTTTGTTCTGTGAACTACCACAGGGGATGCTGGTGGTAGCCCCTGGCTAGGAATAAGAAGAAAACTCCAGCTCTTGTGCTAGCAGTGACTTCTTGCAGTGGCAAGTCACTCCCACAATGTCCTACAGCACCTAAAGGACCAAGGGCTACAATATCACCAAAATTAAGCAGGTTTACATATGATTCTGTGTTTTAGTTACCCCAGTCAAACAATCTGAATAATGCTGGTTATGTGAAATATATAAAGCAAAAGCACAATAGTTAAAAGACTGGTAAGCAAGCAAGAAATCACATTCTCCTCAGAACAGAATAAGGGGTCCTTTCTTCTGTCTTTGCTCAGTTTCCATATGACTTCACTTTCTGGTCCTCTCCTTGTGAACCACCAGGAAAGACTACAAGAAGACATCAGTGGTTGACCAAAGCCTGCAGACTATTGCACAACCACATCTTTGGGCACAGGGTTCTCTTTCTGCACAAGTACTTATTTCTTTAAGGCTATAAAGTGTTTTTTTCTCTTGGATCTGTAGTGTTGACCCCTCTGGATTTAGACAGGAAAACAACAGCAATGCTGAAATTATCTGATGAGATGGAATTATAAAAGGCAAGTCAACAGAGTCTTTTCAGGTCAGTGAGTTAGCCTTTTCCACAGTCTCTTAATCCTTTCACGGCATAAGGTTTTCATGCATCCATTGCCAGCAATGGATCTCTGATGATTCCAGTATCCAAACAGTTAACCACAGGGTGGGCTTTAAAAGAAAAAAAAAAAAAAAAAAGAGGGGAAAAAAAAAGGAAAATGAAAAACCCACAAGTGCTGGATGAAATATTGAGATACTGTTGGAGCTCCTAGCTCTTTCTGCTAATTATGATAAAAAACTTTCTAAAATGTACACTGCTTGAACAGAAGATGGGTATCAAAGACTCGTTAATTCAGAGCTTAAACCTTTCTAGGCACAGTGATTTAACTCAGAAAAGAATAGCTTTCATATCTTAATGTAAATCTGTTGGATATGTTAAAAACTGGTTCAGAGCATCTCCTCACATCAGCTCAGCTGATCTGCTACACTAAGCGGAATTATCTCTTCCTACATAAAACAGGGAGTGCTGCCACATCCAGCCTTGTCTCTGCAATCAAAGGGAAAAAGAAAAAAGAAAAATAAAAGGTGCAGTTGCACCATCCTCTCCCATTCTCCTCCTCCCCACCCCACAAGCTAATTTATACACTCCACCTTGCTCTTTTTCGGGTTATGACTCCATGCCAAAAAGACATCCCATAAAAGAAACCCAGCATAGGTGTTTATCAAAAAACACATCTTCAAAAAAAAAAAAAAAAAAAGCCTGTGGCAGTGATTCTAGTATTATTGTTCTGAAGCTAGAAGGAGGGGAGGGCTGCAGCTTGTGTGCACATGCGTGTGGATGGAGGGAGATGCTGCATTCCGAAATCCCGCTGCATCCTAGAGCGCACTCCGCTTCCTCCTAATGGGACTGGAGCTGCTGTATGGTTTCAATTCAGCATGCTGCACCTGTAAAAACAAATAGACATGACGTTTGCAGTTAGGTAACTCTAGCTCACTACAGTGTGTGTTAATGGCTCCCTGAGGACAAACCAAGGGAAACTAAGGAAGGTTCAAAAGTAATGAATCATTTTCTAAACACAGGAACATGGGGGATTAATTGCAGGAAGGATTTGAGAAGTCATGCATCATTTCTTGAAACAAAAATATTAAAAGCAGATTTTTCTAATGAGATACATGGGGTTCTACCTGATTTCAGCAACTTAGGGTAGATCTTTTGGGTTTGTTTTGGTTTGGGAGTTGTTTTTCTTATCTCTCTGGCATTAACCTATAAGTTTAATAAACTTCTCTCAGGAGTTTCAATTCAAGTGGATCCCAATAGACAGTAAGATGACAGTTTTCAAAACCATACACAGACCTTGGGAGGTTGATGTACTTAATCATTTCCAAAAAAGGAAAGTATTCTCCCAAATAGAACCTGGGCAAAGCTACCTCCACCTTCCAAAACAAATTCATATACAATATAATGGTTAAAACACATGTGATAAACTGCAAAGGATTGTGTAATCTCCAAATTGTCTGTTGTGGTAGAGAAAAGTATTCCCATTGAAATCATGGGGAAACTTTGGTTGAACATGCCATCTTTTTTACCCCTTTTCTGTCTTTTGTCCAACACATGTGGGTTGTAAATGGCAAATGTACAGACAGAAGTACTTTCTAACTCATTGCAGTACCCCAGTGAAATGCTGATGCATTGATAGCATGTAAAACAAAGCAGGGGCTTTGGAGCTTCCATGGATGACTTTTCACTAGAGTGTGGCTGTCACTTGGCCTCACTATTTTTAGCACTAGTAGAAAACTCCAAGGTTTGTCCTATCTGAGGAACTTTCATCATTCCTCCCATAGAAAGTGGTTATCATTTTCCTTGGAGAGCTCAAAGGATCCCAAAATGATAGAAACCACTCAAGGAAATGTTATAAATGTAAATGTTAAATAAAGCATAAATAGAAAAGTAGCTTATCTTTAAACATAAACACTTAAAGGGCATATGCAAACCATCACTGCAAATCCAGTGGCCTCTACAAGAGCAATGACAAAAAACAAAACTACACTGAAGCCTAATGTCTCCATGATTGTTCCTGTTTAGCATTTTTCCTCCCACCAACCTATGGTGAGATTTCTTTCCAGTTATTAGTGCTGCCACCAACCAATCTGGTGGCCTCTTGAGATAAATGTCACCAGAAGCTTTTCCCAACCTTGTTTCTACCAGATGCCTTGACACTGCATGTGAGCAATTATATTTCTGTCTCCAACAGCATAAAGTCACCATACATGAGATTATGATTCCCTTATTCCCACCGAGGAGCATCTCACAGGGAAAGTGCCACAATTCACAGAGAAAAGTACAATGTCAGTGGGATCCAGGGCATCAGGATCAGGGCCTGAGGACACAGACTCCAGTTGATTAAAACAAAAGAAAGAATCCTTTATATCGTGTGGCTTCATTACCCAGCAAGACTATTTTCCCTCCTCCAAGAGAAATAAACAGATCTTGACATTCTAAAGGACTTATTGTTCAAATAATTTCTAGGAAGACAGGCGAGATTACTGAAGACACTGTTGCTGTTTCAAAGAATAGGAGAAGAGACAAGACTTGACTGAAATTCAGGGAGGATAGATTCTGGTTAGATTAAAACTTATAATTCCATAATGGCAGAAGATTGATCTGATCAACTGCAGAGAATTTTATACACATTTCAAGGTTTTCTTTAAAGAAAAAGATGAGCAGGGCATTGTCCAAAGGAGGCTTGGAGCTCAAGCACAAAGTCACAGAAATAATTCCCCCCATTCTTCCCCCTACCTTGAGAAAAGGGAGAATTCAGCAAATCCTTTTGGATGGTTATCTCTATCAAAGAGACTATTTTTCTCCTCCCTCCATACCAATACCGGAGCAGAAAGGTGACGAAAACCATAGTTCAGTAACCACGCTGAGTGATTTTCCAGATCATTTTTTAAGTAGGTCTTTTCAGGATAATTTTTCTGCAATCATTTTATCCTTCTGACAAAGGATTTTGGCTCTCCTCTCTTCTAACGCCCTCTCTCCCCCCTCCCTTTGTGGATTTTCCCCCATTCCTTATCTCCCTTATTCAAAAGTGCATTGCCATTGTATTCCCAAGCGGAGCGCTCGGCCGCTCTCAGTGTCACTCGTGGCCTCCGTTGGCAGTGGCCATTCATTACTTACCTTTTGAACATCAGATGGTACCCTGGAGAGGAAATCTAGTAGCTCATTATTGTCGATGGCGTAGGGATTTCTAAGCTTCTTAGTAAATTTATTTATGCCTAGGAAGAAAAGGGAAAAAAAATACAGGCAAACAAAATAATGCAACCCCTCTGTACTCTCCCCCTCTAAGTTGTTCAGGCAAGGTGAAAAAGGGAAGAGGGATTCACAAGTAAAAATTAGTGTGAAAACAGTGCCTTAAAGTCACACAACATGTTCCCTGTCACATGGAATCATCTGCAAGTGCCTCCTGGAGGACGGAGAGGGCATTATTGATAAAGGTATTTCTCTGCTTTGGGCATCATCTGTTGCCAACAAGGTGGTGAAAAGAGATTGCAGCATGAATTCTTTCTGGGGGATATTCTGGGAGAGAATACACACGTTTACAAACAAGACTGCTGTTAAATCTGCTGTCCTAGATGACCAAATATATCGCCTCTCCTCTTGCCCAGGCAACTGGAGGACTCTGAAAATAACTAGGCAGGGAAAGGTCTTTTTTTCCTTCCATTTCTACTCAAAATGAAAGCTTCCTTTCCCCATCATGTCTCAGAGCTTATCCCCTCTTTGCAGAGCCACATTTGACAAGTTGGCCATATTATGATGCTGTGGGAAACTCTAAAAACTTTTCACAAGGTTTACTTTATTTTGATCATTGTGTGAATAATTTGGCTTGCTAACTGCAGCAACTGTGCTCCCCATCTCCATGGACTTAGTTAAGCTTCAGCTGTCGGAGGTGATCCCTAGTCTGGACAGTAGATCTATGGGAGTCTAATGTTCATATTATTGTGGAGTTCATGAGCTCTTCTCTTGCCTTGCATGAGGTCTTCTTCTAGGTGAAGAAAATCAGCTAATCCATTTTAAAGAATAGAAAAAAATTCAAATGTTGGTTGTCTCTGAGGATCATAATACAGCATGCAATTCCATCATGCCCCTGTCCAAAATCTCATAGTGGTTTCCCTGCAAGTGATTTTGAATGTGGAGGCTGCTCCAGCCTTCTCCTCTCCCTGAAATGTACCTGCTTCACATCCAAGATTCAGCTTTTAAGCCACATACTTGTAGCAAAATGACAACACAATTTTCTGTGTACCTGATTTTTAAAAAACAGAAAATACCATAAGGTCTTTTGAGGCCTTGCCACAGGGTAGTTGTTTAACATGTATCATATTTGAAGGCCCTGTCACTCTAGATGATGTTGAACGGATGTATAGTTTTCATGTACCCACCATGTCTTCCACACAAGAACAGCAATATTTTGTTACTGAACTTTTTACTCCCAGCAATTTCTCTCCTTTCCTTTTGCCCTTTCTTTTGTTTGATTTAATGCTTTATTTGTTTTTTGTTGGCTGCTGTTGCTGCCCAGGAGTGGCTTTTTTTACTGCCACCTTCTCATTCCCTCCCTTTTCTACATCCAGGAGAGCCAAGACAGTTGCAGATGGCTCAGCCCTGGAGGGGTGACAGGAGGTCCCTACAACCCAGAGCCACACTAGGGCCAAGCTTCCACAGGTCAGTGAGGGTTACCTGCACAATATTCTCAACCATTTTACCTCAAGGCTGAGATAAAAGTCACTACCCTAAATAAGACAGGAGGCCATTTGGAGATGTAGAAAGTCTTCAAGCAGCTGGAATCACAGAATGGTTTGGGTTGGAAGGGATCTTAAAGACCTACTCAATCCAACATCCCTGCCATGGGCACGGATACCTTCTACTAGACCGGGTTCATCCAAGCCCCATCCAACCTGGCCTTGAACACTTCCAGGGACTGTGCATCCACCCCTTATACTAGTGACTCATCACCATCATAGTTTTTTCCTAATATCTAATCTAAACCCACCCTCTTTCAGTTTAAAGCCATTCCCCCTTGTCCTGTGACTACATGCCCTTGAATGCCACCTCCTTTAGCAAAAGATGATCTTATACTTCTTCATAACACCATTGAGAAAGTTTTAATTTTTAAAAGCTCCTCTTTTACTTCATGGTGTATCTTCATACAAATGCTTTCTGACCCATGACAAAAGGAGATGCTCAGGGTCTCCCACTGGGTTCTGGGCACACTGCCTGTTCTGATTGCAGGGATATTCAGACCCAAAAGGCTCCTGGGGTCCAGGTCTACGTGGTCCAGCTCTGAAAACACTTCTTGTCCACTTCCTACCATTTCCCAGCTGGGGGGTTACAGCACCAGGAAGCTAATTACTTTCTTGCAGAAGAATAATAACACTGAAAGTAGCTTATCTAGGCTAATGCTCTTCTTGCAGTGCTGTTGGAAACTTATAAAGAACCCTAAGAAAAGCAAATTATCGGATAACCAAGGGGGGAGAAATGGTAATTTTAAGAAGTTCGTAACATCTTTATTCACCTCTAAGCAACAGCACTTGTTTGTCTGTGTAACAGGTTGTTTAAAGCTTGTTTGATTTCATCCTGTAGACATATATTGTATTTAATCTCATATAAATGCGACACAGTGGAGTACTTACCCCAGATTAAAATTATGTACCTCAGTGGTATAAAATACAAAATAACTGTTGCTGCTGCCAGGACCAAGCAGGCCAGGACAGAGAGGAAAGGCACCGTCCAGTTGAATGTGCTGTAAGGAAAAAAACAAACAATCCTTCTCAACATTTCTGTTCTTGGACACTGTTTGTACTCTGCTACCCAATAATAATTTAATGACCTCTTTGCAGTGGTTGGCACAGTCAGATATGCCATAAATTGCAGACACTTTGGAAGGTGGATAAGCAGATTCCTACATCTGGATGTTATAATGGATTAAGGGAGATATCTGAGAGGCAGATATCACGATAAGGAAAGAGAAAAGGAGCCCAGGGGAGCTCAGTGAAGTTGTTAGGCATGTAAGTGAGTTGTTTTTGTTTTTTCTCCTACGTGTCGCACTTGTTTCACATCTCTGCTCACCAGTCAGCTCTTCATTATTCATGGGTGGATTATCTGATCTGCAGACAGAGCCATCAGAGCTGGCTCCACCGGGCCACAGTGGAGATGACATGAGATGTGTGTCAGTGCACGACTCAAACGTGGCAGGTAGCCAGAGTCAACCCTGATGGTAACTTGGAATGGATTAATTAGGATGCTAAACTTTGAAAGAGCAGTTAGAGTAATTCCTCTGTATAGCATTAGGGAATAATGTTTTATATAAATCTCTCTTTGTATACATAAATTTGCTTCTATTTCTTTAAATTTTCAACAATTCCTTACTACACTGTATACAGGAGGCTGGTCTGAGTAAGCTGTAATATTCTAGCAGCAGTCCAAGCTTCTGCATTCCAACAATCTGCATCAGATTTCTCCCAAGGGAAGTACTCTTGAGCGGCTCAGTTACTAAAGTATTTCAGACTTTTACAACATTGTAGTGAAAAACAGGACTTTATTTCACTCTGACCTCTCATTTGTAAGTCAATGACGGACTTAAGGTGAGCAGCTACTGCTAACATACCTTTGAAGTTACTTTGTCCCTCCATGCCCTTATAAGACATAACCCTATGGCATACAACAAATATTGAGATACCTGGACTACAATAATGCCAGTTATTCCACAGTTACATGGATTTTAGTCCAGTTAGATGGATTTACAGATCTGGGCATCTCTGTTTCTCACAATCTGCCTGCTAACTTCATCATATCACAATGACGGGGAGTAGGAAGAAGAGAGAATGAACGTGGACCACTGATCAGGCTATAAAATAAGACAAACTTCCCTTGACAGATAAAATTAATAGGACGCTATAAGAATTACTTTTAAGCTTCAACAGACGTATTAAATATTAAGTAAAGATAGGTGGGAGAGGACCCATCATCATCAATCAAGTAGCTTAAGCAAAAAAAAAAAAATAGCAAAATAGCTCAATTCAGAGAAAACTCCCTATGATTGTGTAACTGGAGTGACAGACGGAAACTGCAGCACAATTCAGTCTGTCACTTACAAAAAAACTTTGATAGCAATTTTTTAATGGTACATCACTGTTGAGTTACAACAGAATTCTTCTGAAATTACATCGGGCCTCCACATTAATACCCAATGTGTTCTTTAAGACCATTGTTACCAAAATGAATACAAGAATTAATAGTGTTTAAGTGCTCTGAGCCTTCCTGCCATGCAGCTGGGCAGAACAGTGCCCTGTTCATAGACTGGAATACATCTTTGGGCCATTTCCACCCCAGCTGGGGTGTCAGGCATGGAACCACAGCACATGCGTTTGCTGTATTTTTAGCTTGAACCCAGCTCCTCATTAAAGTGTGGCTCGATCACAAACCATCACTTTGTGTTCAAAACAGAAAACAATGTGGGTCAATTAAGCTCCAGTAGATTGAGTTATAAAAGTTTGTGTGTGTTTGTGTGTGGGATTTTTTCTCTTTTTTTAGGCTCTTCGCCTCCCTCCGTTTTAAGGTCAGTAATACACTGTGTGCCTCCCCTTGCAACGAGACCCTGAAAACCCCCTTTGGGTTTCCCTGTGGCACCAGCAGGAAGCAGACAGCTCAAAATGGCAAAGAGAAAAGAACATCAACGCATTGGCCAGAGACATAAGTGACTGGTAACCCCTGCAGCCAGGTCTGGACACGGAGGGCGTGGGAAAAGCAACCATCAGTTCCTACCTACTTTCTGTGATGAGAGTGAAAAGAAATGCCTGATGCTTCTGTGCCCACATCTTCAAGAAGTATCTGTGTCATTCATGACTCCCTACTCCATCACAAACAAATAAGACCAGAAATTTAGGCAATTGTGGAAGGTATCAGTAAAGCACTTGGCTTCACCTCTTCTCTAGGCTTTGAAAAGGTTTTTGGAATAAATGACTGTAAGAGAAGCAGCAGTGGTGGGACTGGTGAGGATAACCTGCTGCACCTTGAAGTCATTTTTGGAGCAAGGCATTCGCTCCACCTTAGTCCTCCTGGTTCTGCTTCACTGCAAATCACAGTTAAGCAATAAAAAATTTATTACTTACTTTTTAATCCTCTCTCCAAACGATGCTATTTCTTCTAGGATGCTTTGAACAGCTATGATGATCTCTTGGACCATGTGGATTCTGTCAATTAGCCCCTTTTTCTCAGATTCCTAACACACAAAAAATAAAACAGAAAACCAAAACTTTTTTTTAATATATTCAGTATTTGCGCGGATGTTCAAAGATATGTGAACAAAGAAAGATTCCCAGAACTGCTGTTGTATCCATGAACTCAAGTATGTCACTGAAGGAAGGAAAGAACACACACTCAGGGTTTATCACATACAATTAACATTATTTTTTAATCGTATGTAATATAGATGGAAAATATAGATCCCTATTTTCTTCCTTTTCCTCAACACATGGGTAGAGGTTTCTTCACCTTCCAATGCAAATCAACTGCAGAATCTCAACCAGGACTTCCCTGAAGAACTTCAGTTTCACCCCAAAGCAGAAGAGGTGTTGAGCACTCCCAATGTGCAGTGCTGGCTGCTCAGTGCTCCTCAAGAACAAGAATATTCTTGTGCAGAACTTCTGAATATCACTTTTCTGGGCTTTCTGGGCTCCCCACAGCCATGCTGTTTTGTGTATATAAATTAGCAGCAAGATAGTGAATGCAATATTTTTTGAACATTCTGTATACAGAGACTTATTCTTTTACTGGAAAAAAAAAAAGAATCAAAGGAAGAAATGTCCTTTTCCCTTCACAGTGGCCATCTCACAACTTTGTTTCTTACTGCTTATTTTAGGCAACAACATTACAGGACATTACTACCCAACTGCAGAAATAAAAAGGAAGCACAGAATGAATTAAAAATCAAAATGACTTAAATCAGGCTTGAAAATCAGTATACAATTATCAGCATTCAGCATTTCTTTGCCAGCAATCTAACACACATACAGGCATGCAAATTGGTGTGGTTGCAGATATTCTAGTGAGAAATCAGCAAAACATTCACTTATTACAAAACGCAGAGTCCTGGACACTGATTTTACATCACTTTTAGACACTCAAAAATCAGGCCAATTTAGCAAAAATAAGACATTTTAAGCTGTGCTTTAACCAACTGGTTCCCAGAGAGGGGAGGTGATGGTAAAAAGCATTTTGTATCCATGTTCTCCATGGTCCTTACCAGTCAGGGTAGCGGAAAGGGTGGGTGGGGACGAGCGAGGGCCAGAGACGTGTGGATCAACACGGCTGCAATTCTGCCTCTGTGTTGTCATCCACATTATATCTCCATGCAGGAGAAGGTCAGAGGCTACTTAGAGTCACACAGCACCACAGAGGTGATGGCTCTTGCTCCAGCCTTTTGGCACTACCGTGATGGGAGAAGGTTTGTGTGTGCCTGACACAGAGCACCACACTCCAGCATGTGCTGGAATAACCTCTGACCCATCCTTGGATGCTGAGAAAGAGAGGCATGGGAGTATAGCTCTTATAACACTTGGAATTACTTACTGCCCATTTCTCTCCCCAGTAATTTCTGATTTTAAAAAGCCAGCCAAAACCACCATGGAGTTATCAAGCTCCAGACATTTGAATATTTGCCTTTAGGTTGCAAGTGAGTGCACAATGAATAGAAGCAGCTTTTTAAATAATCACACATTTGGGTGTGAAAATGAGTATTTTTACATTAATAAAACAACCAACAAAAATGAAACCCTTGGGGTGTGAAATAACCCCAGAACAAAATAAATAAATAAATAGTCAGTTTATGTGAAAATAGCACAAAAAAGTCATTTTCACACAGCTCCAGTTATAACCTCGTTAGGCTCAAATGTAAATGACACATTGGAATTATATTTAACTATTCACTCACTGGAGTGGTACAGTGGTCCCTCTGCCACAGTTGGTTTTTTTTTCCACCAAACTTGGAAGTAAAAGTTGGAGAACAGTTCATGGAAAACCAGACAGTGGGAATTTCATTCTGTCCAAATTCAGACAGAGGGGTAAAGAAACCACTTAAATAAAGTGATATTGCAGGGCAAGCCTACTCTTGCTACCCCGAGCTGCAAGGCAGATCATCTGTCAGCTCTATCTGCATCATGCTGACTTCATTTACACATCTTCGATTGAGCTTAGAGATGTGGTGATAACGCAGTTTAACCAACACAACACAACTTCTGCTGCAGCCATGAAGCAGAGTAGGAAAATAAAACATGAACTACCAGCTCCAAAGATTATAATGACAACTACATGCCTGTGCTTACCTGGCGTGCAAGTTAAAATCACCCCTAGACAGTGATGGTTTCAACTTCTAATATAAAATGTGACCAACCAATGTAAAGGCAGAGACAAACTGAGATTAGAAAGCCTTGTAAATAAAATCAGTTATTAAGAGTAAAATAGGCTGCAACTGTCCTTGCAGTATGTACTACAGTGTATGTGCATAATCATTTAAAAATCCTGGGAATTTGTCAATGTTTCTTTGTTATTATTGTTTTGTTCTAGAAACCTGCAGACTAAATACATCTACAGGATTATTAGGTCACTGATTAAGCAAGAGAGAGCAGACAAATGAAGTACAGCAAATGGGATTTTTCAAATTATTTAGATTTTGGAGTGTTGTTTATGCTTTCTGAAGGCAGCACCTCACAAAGCACTGTCGGAAGTAGTAGGAGTCCATCAGGATGACAGTCACTGGCCCCTATTTATTAGGAAATGGGCAACTGTCACAGAGAAAGCTATATTTGGACACTACCATATTTGTGGAAGATGAAAAAAGTAATCCTAAATACATCTTCCATTAAATGGACTTTCCCATCTGTGCAAGATCCCACCACTCAGATAATTTTTCTCCAGCCTCTTCAAGTATCATTCCTTTCTGCTTTCTTTTGAACTCAATATATTGTGCTGCTTGAAAACAGGATTTGGATATCCATGGTTCAAAATCACAGCTCAGAAGCTTATGTTTGAATTGAAAACAAAATATCCTTTCCGTTTCTGGCAATTTTTCCCTAAAACCAGTCGCAAAAATTCCATTCCTTCAAGGCCTTTTTCTTCTTTATTTCTTAGCTGATTACAGCACTGTGGGTGGACCAAAACTAGTCTTCGGCCTTTGGGAAAGAATTAACTCCATCAAAATGAATTTACAACTGAGAATTAATTATATAATCAGTGTGCTGCTTCAAATCTTCCTTGCATATCCTGATTTAAAAAACCTTCATTTCTACATTAATTGCCTGAACAAAACCACAAAAGGGGGTTTACAAAAGATTAAGCATGTCAGGGGAAGAAAAATAAAACAACACCAACCAAGACCCAGCAATTTCATAAATTAAGTCTTTTGTGTCCAGCTAATGCACATCAACTTAAACTCATAAATGAAGACACCAAACCTCTGCCATACTGGAAGTGGTTTCTAGATTTTCCTGTTTCTGAAATACGTAACACTTTAAGAGGGGCATGTAAACACACTCAAAGGGTAACCACAGCTCTGTGATCTTCCCTCCAGGGAAGTTCCATTCAGGGACAGTTGCAAAAGAAACCTTCATGCGACCTCAACACTGAGGTACTTCCAATGCTGAAGAGTTTTAAAGAGTGGGAATATGGGGCAGGCCAGGAGAGGACAACCCCAGCACAAGAGCAGCAGTTCACGATTGGGGAGCTACAATGGTCAGAGCTGGGCTTGCAAGGGAAAATCATACAACTTGTGGAGGAAGAGACTGAAGGAAAAATTCTTCAATCGTCTGCTCTGGAACAAAGACCAAATACTGCCCATTACTGCTTCTTCTGCAGCCAAGCATCCATTACAGAGTTGAAAGCTTCGATGGTGGAGATCCCCTAACTTCTTTTGATCATTTGTTTCAATGATTAATAGCTTTCATCTTTACAGAAAGCTGCTTCCTATTTTTTAAATCTATCCTGCAGATATTTTTCCTCTGGATACATCCAAACCAGTAAGCAGTGCTCCAAACACATAGACAATTTTTACTCTCTAAGGGTATTTCTGATGTATACTGCAAATATCATATGCACACAACTAAAAGTTAGGCTTGAAGCCACGAGTAAGTTCTAAATTCTTGCTCACTTGGATTTCATATAAAACACTCGTAGAAAAATCTTGCATGCAACTTTCAAACAAGTGGTATTCATCAGCAGATTTTTGGCGTGCCAAGGGAAACTCAATATATAAAGCTGAGGAACATTTGGGGGCAAAGATGAGGAAAAGGGGAGGAGAAAACATAAATAGGGATTAATGCAAAAGGAAGAAGAAAACAGGATACAGCCAACTGAGTCAGGAATGAAAATCATGAATATCTTCAGAGATTGAAAGAATTACTCTGCCAAGCCCTGGGCTGGCCTAACTTTTGGGATTAGCTTTCTTACAGTAGCTGTCTCATTATGCTACTGCTGCAAGCACATTACGGCAATGTTTTACCGGGATTTATCTGACATACCAGTTATTAATTCCTCATTGTATTAGCAACGAACAGGATTGATGGAAAGTGAAAAGAAAGGAAAACAGCTCAGACATGCATTGCTTTTTGCTCCACTATTATTCTGCTTTAAAAAAAAACAACAAAAAACCAAACCAAAACAAAAAACAACAAAACAAAACATGCTGTATTTATTTAGAGAAAAGCAGAGTTAGCCAAAGTTGGATTTAATTTGCAACTTGCTCTGTGCTAGACTACAAAACTCTGACCTTACCGGTGTCCAGAAAAACCTGTGCCAAACAACAGCTTAAGGCCAAAATACTCGTCCATGAAGAACTTCTGAAACCAGAAAGATTTTATTGGGTATAAACAGCAGACCACTGGCCTCTATTGTCTGCAGGGAACACTCCACTAACAGCTCCAGTCTAGCAGCAGAATGAAGCTCTTGTGGGAGGTGGTAGCCATGGAGTGACAGACAGTCTCTTGGTAGCTAAAATGAATTCCAGGCAGAGCTTTGAAAACAGTCACCACAGCAACCTTGAACTGGATCCTGCCTTCGGTGGGAGCCAAAGGCGGCTGAAATGAACCCAGCAATCTGCCTTGCTGAGTCACTGTCTTGCCCTGTGCTGCAATGTCTGCTGCGTGTCGAGGGGAGCTGCTCGGCACTTCCAGGAGGACGGGTACCCGGAGAGGATGGTTGCCAAACTCTGAGCAATTGCCTCGTGCAGTC